ACCCTCCAGCCCTTGGTGTGATTTTCCCTCTCTCTTTGCAGCCCACACCCTATTAAATCCCATCTGACATCACTTGCCAAGGGTCTGCATTATCCTGCAATTCTGGTCTCTGATGGATGTCATCCCTGGACCAGCAAAAGAGCTGCTGGCTTCTGATTTTCTAGGAAATTCTAGTGGCCCGGATGTCCTCCCCGATATCATGACCCTGCTTTTGGGAAGACTGGTCAGTGACCTGTTATTTGTATGATTGGCTCGTATTTCAGTAGGCCTTCCCGCAAGATGCAGATCTCTCAAAACCGAAAATTGCTGGAGAAACTCAGCAGGACTGGCAACATATGTGGATAGAATACAGAATTAATGTTCCCAGTCCAGTGACCCTTCTAAAGGACTATTAGGACCTAGGAAATACAGGGGATCAGAGGGACTTTGGTGTTCATGTCCATAATTTCTTGAAGACAGCAGGGCAGGTAGATATGGTTAAGAAGGCATATGGGATATTTGTCTTTATTAGTGAATGCATTGGATACAAGAGCAGGGGATTATGATGGAGTTGTATGTAACCTTAGTTCACCAACAGCTGGAGCACTGTGTAGTTCTGGTCGCCACACTACAGGAAGGATTGCATGAGAGGGTGCAGAGGAGATTCATCAGGAAAACAAAACAAAGAATTGCAGATGCTGGAAATCTGAAAAAGTACCGAAATTGCTGGGGAAACTCAGCAGGGAAGGCAGCATCTGTGAAGAGAATGCAAAGAATCAGTGTTTTGGGATCTGAAAATTCACTAGGATGCTTGGGCTGGAGCTTTTAATCAGTGAAGAGAGTCTAGGTAGGCTGAGGTTTGTTTTCCTTAGAGCAGAGAAGATTGAGGCAAGACATTGTTGAGTTGTACAAAGTTATCAGGGACATGGATAACATAGATGGGGTGAATGTGCTCTCTGGTCACTGACCCTTCCAAAGAGAGAAACAGTTTTAAGATGAGGAATAGGAGTTTTGGAGGGGATTTGAGGAAAAATAGTTTTTCACAGATGTCATTGTGTATCTGGAGCTCACTGCTTGAAAGGTGGGAACTCGAGGCATTTTAAGTAGTATTTAGATGAGCATTTATAACACCATAGCACACAAGACTATGGGCAAGTGCTTGAAAATGGGATTAGAATAAATTAATGCTTGATGAGTGGCATGGACTCAATAGGCCAAACACACTTGATGTGCTGTAAAAGCTCTGATTCTCTGACTCTGTTTCCTTCCAGAAGTCATTTTTTTAAGTAGAAATTCGGTCTTTATTGCCTGCATTCCTTATTCTTTAAGTTTTGTTACTTAATTTTAATTACTTGCAACTTCATTTCTGCATGTAACTACTTCAATTCTTTTGTCATATCAAGTTCTTAAAATTGCTATGTGTATTCTTTTAGTTCTAGTTTAATGAACCACTTCGCAGCTGTCAAAAACAGTTTCCGTTAACAGAAAATCTTAAAACCTACTCTTCAAATCAGTTTAAAGTTAGGAGTTTTGAGATTTGCCCCAATGCCATTAATACTATCAAATAATTGAGAATTATAGCTGAAAGATTCAACATTCGCTGTCTTTGGGGAAAAGTACAAAATTTCTGCCTCTTGCAAATGGAAAAAAAAACTTCCTATTTGCACTGAAAAATAACTTGGCTCTAATTTTAATACTGTGCTTACTTTAGCTTGTTGCACGTTGAAGTGAAAAGATTATATGGAAAAGGTTACCTTGATGGGAATGTTGAGTATGAACAATCATTCATTCATTCGGGCATTGAGGTTTTCAAATTGATGAAACGTTAAGCAGTTCACTTTAATCAATTATGTAACAATGTTGCGTTTTCGTCTTGCGCAGCCTTAGTTATAAATTACCTTAGCTTTAAATTACAAGCAAAGTAGATCAACAACATGTGTAGCTCCTTCAACAAAATGAAAACATCCAAGGTTCTTTTGACATTATAATAAAACAAACCATGATAGTAAACCAAATAATGAAATATTAATTCAAATGAGTGAGATCTTGGTTAAAAGCAAAGTTCGGAGTGGGGAGCAATATTCAGTGGTTTCAGTCCTACCGGTACTCAATAACTAATTTCTGCCTGTTAAGTACTGGATTTTAGGTAAATAGTCTGATGATTTATCAACAATGAATTAGTCTAGAGAAGTGCGAATGAGAGAGAGTTGGATTTTGCAGCAAACATAAGAACACTAGTGCTGGTTTCTTTGGGTGATACTACCAAGGTGTAGCATATAGGTAGGAAATACAAGGGATCCTTTCGAACACCGAAGGTAATAGTGTAGGAGCAAAAAGTCAAGTAATTTCAAGTGACTGTCTAGCTATGATTAGGTAGATAAGACAGAATCACATTTAAGTTATTTTTTGTTCGTTTTTAGAAGGCCAAATCACTTCCACTTATGCCCATTAAATTCAGGGTAGATTTATGGCATTTTTATGCTATTGTATGAAAAGCTAATAATGTGTTATAGTTTAGTTATTAATGACTGAAGCTTTTCAGTACCAACATTTTATGTTCCATATACACTTTTTACAAAAAAATTGCGTAACATAATTGACTTTTGAAATCAAATATTTTTAATTTCTCCAGGACAGTATTTGAGAATGAAGCTTTTCGGTCCGAAATCTCATTGCTTCAACCTGTTAATCTGGAAGTTGTTGTTGAACGCAATTTGTCTGCTGCTTGGTACCATGATATTCCTGATATTAAAATTCTTGGAACTCTGAAACCCCTACATGTAAGTGCATCTTTTCAAAATTATGTTTGGAATTAGATTTCATAATGATAGAAAGCAAATGTAAGTTACCCCCAATTAGGTTTCAAAATGTTACTAAACACACAACCTCTTAAACACTCAACACAATTATTTAGTTTTCTGTCTTTGTTCCTGCTGCCATTCATTTACATGACTGTTTTGAATGCTTTTCTGATTCAAAAGATTTACTAAACTATTTTTCTATATAACTTCCAATAGAATATTTTTTGTGTTACATAGTAGTGCAAAATGTAACTATTGCTACATTTGAATGACTTTCTTAAAGATCTAAATAATTATTTGGAAAGCATTCTGACGTATTGTGTGGAGACTTTAGAGAATTTCATTTTTATGTAGAATTGGCTTGTGATCATATGATGCACAAACTAATATTAAACTCATTAGATATATCTTGAACAAATTAGTGTTTGAATATATAAAAAAAAGGAAATTCTTAGCTTTCAGTGTACCAATTTAATCCTAAATTTATAACATTAGTAAAGAAACATATTGCCATTGTAACCTATTCTTCTTCAGGTTTTATCCACTTGATATATCTATATTTTGCCTGCCAAAACAGGCACGTCATAAATTGTGCCTCTCAGCTGTTCATACACATGTTGACTAATGCTTTCTAATAAATATTATTCTTCATTTGTATTGACTTGGTGTTTTGATAGGCTACGCTCAGCCAAGATGATTTGATCATCATATTGAAATCTCTGAATGAAAATTTGGGTGATAATTCTGTTGACGTTGTACCTGTACAAACTGAGAGGAATAGTTCAAGTCCTTCTCCAAGTTCTGCAGGTTTGCTTCCTTTTTGCATCGATATCAAAATTATTAATTTATCGTCTTATTGAGAACATCTGAATAAAATTGTTCTCATCTCGTGTTCGTTGACTTTTTCGACTGAACAAGAGCAGTTGATATTTTCTCAATGACTTTATTTAAAAACTGGATAATCACATGTTTTCAATGTGAAGGCAATACCCGATTTTCCACCTCCCCCTCATTCTGACCTAATTGTCCATGGCATTCTATGATGTCCCAGTTAAGCTTAATGTAAGCTTGAGAAACAGCATGTCATCTTTTGATTAGGCATGATTCAGTTTTCTGGAGTCTACATTTGAGTTTAACAATTTCAGATCATCACTTCTGCCACTGTCTTTATTTTGTTTTTTTTTCCCCTTTTGATTTCAGTTCACAAATGACAACTGTTCATAATTCTGTCATTCATACCTCTTCATATTTGAGATTTTTGCTTACCCAATTACCACTTCTTTCTTTTGCCTTAAATCATCAACACTTGACCATTTAAGCTCTTCTGCTTTCACCCTAGACGTATCCTTTTTTTTGTTTTTACTCCTGTATCTCTATTCCTAGCACTTTCCTAAAAACATCTCTAATTTTCCTAGTTCTGCTGAGTATTTTCAGTGTTTTCTATCTTTTATCCACTTTTTGTTTTTGTATCCTCTGTAACATTAATTCACTCACTCATATTCACCCTTCTCTTTGATTATTTCTTTCCGAATTCTTACTTCCCAGTGGTTGAGACGATGCACTGTTGGCCACGTTGTTCCTGAAGATCACAAATCCTCATTGCCCTCTGCACTGTTGGCTTTTGCACACTACCAGCTTATAGAGAAAATTATTATTGAAGCTGAAGGATACAAGGGGGTAAAGTCTAATGCACCACTTGAATAAGATTTGCCTCGATGAGCTAAGGGATATATAACATGGAAAACCAGTTTGAGGGCTCTAAACTGGAGTGTAGCGAGGGATTGATATTTTGGGTTTTGCAAAATTCTGAATTTTCACTTATTTGAAAACTAACAATCCCACTGTTTCAGTAATGCCTTTCCAAGAAGAGAGCCCTCATTTGGCTGTACATATTTCAGCCTCGTACTGTGTGATAGAATCTTGGGGCAGAATTTTAATCAGGCGATGGGGGTCTTGCCCATCAACTGGAAAGCCATAGAGAACACTGTTGTACTTTAGGAAGTCTCACCATTAAGTGGCCAGTTGCAAGCCTATCCTGGGATCAGTAGCCTGGGCAGAAATGCCGCCACCTCTGCCTGCTGACTTGACCCTTTGCAAGTCTTGAAGAGCTGCCAGTCATTAAGGCTGAGAGCACTGTATTGCAGGCAGCAACACCATTGTGGGAATGGTAGATACCAAACACCCAGGCTACGTTTAAGAGCAGTGATCAGGGCCCATGGGAAGGGGTTCACAAATGTTCTAGGAGTGGGGAAGAAAGGGCATAGTGGCTCGCTGCAGGCTGTATCCCCTTGATCGTGCCTCTGAAACAGGGACCTGCAACCCGAAAAGCATATAAGCAATCTGACCCGTGTTTGTTTGTCAGGCTTTCTGCATACTGGCTGCCCTGCCTGCTGCTGTTTGAGGACCAGTGATGGTGGAATGAGCTCCTCTAGTGTAAATTAATTCCCCCGTTAGGGTCGTAGGTCAGTTTGGGGCAAAACGGTTGACCATGAACTTTATCACCTGGACAGAGCAGAGATGGGAAGGTGTCAGGTTTCCCACCTTGCGCTCACTAGCCTAATTAATTGGTATTAAATTGTGCCCTTGATGTTCTGTGTATTGGCTGAGCAAATGGTATGAAGTTAACCTTAATTACAAAAAAAAAAGCAGCTCAAGTAGAAGGCCTATCACCGTTTCTAGACAAGTAGGAGTCTTAATTATTGTAACTTTGCCAGTGTTGCTCCTATCCTGAGAAATTAAAGAACTGAGCCAATTATCCTCCTTCATGAAACACTGTGAATCATCTGTTTAAAGTTGTTGGTTATGTGATGGCTATGCCTTATTTTCACTCTAGCAATCTATCCCATGAGATTTAGTGTTTGAAGATGACATGATTAAGAAGTTTTCAGAAAACAGACCCTGTAGTTATTGATGAAAATACTATAGATTGCGGGACGATATACCTAGACTGGTCAAGCAAGTAGGAAAGTGATAAAGGGAATTCATTCCAAAGACCTGCGAGGTAATGAATTTGGGAAGGGTAAAGTAGGTGAGGAAATGCACAATAAATGGTAGAATACTGAGCAGTGTTGAAAGGGATCTTGGAGTGTATGGCCACAGATCCCTGAAAGGATACAATATTATGTAATTTTACTGTAGCTTTTATGTTATTGTGTAATAAAGCACTGCGGCACTTGTGCAACATCCTGGCTTAGACTAAATAGAGACAGGTAGATTTATGCCACATGAGTGTGATGTAATGATGATTCGTTGCAATAAAATGAAAGTCATCTTCTGATGATCAACATTGCTCTGATTTATTGAGTTCATTACTGACCAGAAACCTGTGCATCAGTTATATCAAGAATATCCATACAAGAGACGCTTGGATAGTGAACTGCTTTGAGATGTATGATTGAATATTCCTGATTTGCTTATATGTATGCAGTTTGAACACTCTAGAACCACAGTACCATCTCAGTGAAAGTAGTTGATAGTACACTCAACTACATAGCCTCTTTGTTCACCATCAATATGGAAGTATTGTGGCATAGTGTTTGGGTAATATTCCTTTCTGTGAACCAGTAGATCCAGTTTGGGTCGCACTCCAGGGTTTAATATTCCTGGATGTTGCATTCACAAAGTGGCCAAACAGCTGAAATATCAAACTGCAAAATTCTGATATGCCTGTGACTGGCAAATCTTCTCGTAACCATGCTTGATGTGGCATGTAGATCCGTGCCTCTGGCAACAGACTTGTGACCTATTGCAGGAAGCTAGTTATGACAACAGACATAAGCATATCCACGGTCTGTCCTGTGCATCATTAGACTTGGGAAGCCTCCAAGTCTAAGTCATCACGATTGCATTGTGACTGTAGTACGTGCTGTATGTGTAACAGCAATGCCAAGCTGAGAATGAAGTCTCTTGACCTCAAATACCAGAAGGTACAATAGCAGTAAGATTGTGGGAACATAATCAACATCAGATTTCCCTCCAAGTAACGTAATGACTGAACTTAAATATATGTCTCCAGTCTGTAATCCTTGCAGAGACACGTCAAGGGATGTCTCTACCTAACAAACTGTAGGAATGCCATTCACTTTCCAGTGTCACTCGTATCCTGAGAATGATTATGAGAAATGTCCACACTGAAATCCTCATTAAGAATAATGGTAAATTTTTGCTGTATAAGATCTTCCCCTTCGGAGAAATTGCAGGGAAGAATGATGGGAGGGCAGATAATGGGGCAGGTTGGAGTCATAGTAATGTTTGCCCCCTTCCTTGCATCAGGGAAGTTATGTTATAGACAAGAAGGCCCAAGCTGGACTTTCTAGGGATCTGAGCATTGGTGTCCTGGCAGCAGCTCCTGCGATGCTGCTAAGTTCTCAGATGACAGCTTCTGGCTTCCTGACTGGTTGGAGAATCCAAACGGGCTGTGGATTCCAATTCTAGCAGAAAGCTTGCTAGCAAACATTCAAGTGTCTGATCGTGAAAAGAACTGGTGAACTTTCTGGTCATGTTGCAACACAAGCTTCTCTGCAGAAAACTCTGCCACTTCTGGACTTCATCTGAAAATTGGAAATTGCTGTAATTAATCTCTCATGTCTTGCACCCTATCACAACATATCCTATTAGGCTTCCTATTCCTCACTTAAAAAAATTTAAATTCCACCAGTTGCATAGGATTTGAACCTGGAAATCAAGAGAATTACACTTGGTCTCTGGATTATTAATCCAGTACATCACCATCTCCCCTTCACAGTGCAATTGTGATGATAACCGGGTTTCTTCATGGAGGACATTACTCAACGAGTGAATTTTTAGACCAAATTTGTTGTCTTGTGGTCATTTTTCTTTCTTATTGATACCAACTTGTTGACTGAAATTCTTAAACCGCCACAAGAAAAATGACAAAATAAAATCTGTGGAGAAAGATCTCTCATACTAATCTACTAATACTAATCTAATTTCAATACTAAAAATGTTTCTTTTTCTCCTTTAGGAAGAACTGTGGTAACGGCAGCTGTTGTAGAAACACACAAACCTCTCAGAGTTAAAACAACACTGAAGTTGGATTTCAAATTGGATGAAATTTCATTGATACTCTACAGTCAGTCCTTGAACCCGGTACAGCAGTTTTCTTAAATTATTATCTGCTGAAAAATGTTGTTTTTAGCAAGATGCCATTTTTGAATTTCTGCTTTTATTTTTGGTTCTTCAGAATCACTGTTTACAGTAATCCAGTGTAGGAAGCTGAGTTTGCACACACCAAGTTATCACAAGCAACATTGTGACAATGATCACCCAATGTGTTTCGGTAGTGTTTGATGGATGACTGTTGGCCAAGATACCAGGGATAAGTTTGTTTTTGTTCTTTAAAATAATACCAAGGGATAATTTCCATACATTTGAGAGACAGACAGCCTCAGTTTTGTGTTTCAAGTGAAATATGTCATCTGACATGGCAGCACTACCTCAGTATTGCACTGGAATTTTAACCTTGATTTTTGTGTTGAAGTCCTGGAGTGGAATTTGAACACCCACAGCCTTTTGAGTCAGAAGTAAAAGCACTGTCAACTGAGCTTAGGTGCCATTGGCCAACGTAAGCCATGTAATGTCATGTTTGATGGAATAGTTTTGGAAAAAGCCAATGTACAATGAAGCATAAAAATATGTGCTTGAAGTTAAATTTGGATTGGAATTAAAAGTTTGACGATATAATGATTAAATAATGGGTAGTCTTAAAAGAAGAGGTGTGGATACAGAATAAGTACATTCCCATTGATGGGGAAAGGAAGGGTATCCAAATCTAGGGCTCCTTGGATTTTCGGCCTCGTTTACTTGTTCGATGTTAGAGCTCGCATTAATTTTTAGAATAAGAGTCGTCAATGTATATTTTGGGATTCTTACAGCTCCACATGCTGTAAGATTGGCTTTTTGCTCAGCATCCATTTGAACACTGAAACTGGGTACATCAAAGCTGTCCTGTAGAATCAATGGCTACCCTACTCATTATAGTGTGCACGCTGAACATTTGGTCAAGGGTTTCCACTCTTGGATCTGAAAAGTGCTCAGTGTACCCAGACCTTATTGAGGTCTATGCAATCATGAGAGGTATGAGTAGCCAAGGTCTTTTCCCCCAGGATGGAGAGTCCAAAACTAGAGGGCATAGATTTAAAGTGAGAGGGGAAAGACTTAAAAAGGACCTAATGGGCAACATGTTCATGCAGAAGATGGTGCATGTGTGTAATGAGCTACCAGAGGAAGTGACGGAGGCTGGTACAATTACAATATTTAAAAGGCATCTGGATGGGTATAGGACTAGGAAGGATTTAGAGGGATATGGGCCAAATGCTGGCAAATGGGATTAGATTAATTTGGAAAATCTGGTTGGCATGGACAGGTTGGGGTGAAGGTGCTATTTCCATGCTGTACAGCTCTATGACTTTAAGTTACCCAGGAAAGGTGAAGTATCTCAGTAATTTGAGCACCAGATGAAGCTAACCGTTTTATACTTTGATTATGCAGTAGAAATATGAATGGTATTTTCCACTAAGAGAAGGATGCCATCAAGGCGCAAAAATTGTTTACAACACAAATGAGTCATGTGGTATGTTAATTTCAGCATCAGTGCATTGTCAGGTATGTAGCCCATACATCCCAAGGACTGGTGGTTCACATCAAACAGCGTATTGCTTTGGTTGTTTGCAATAGAAAAAGTACTGACAGTACTGGATCAGCCTGTTCTTGCAAAAATCTGGTCATAATGTCAAATCTTCAACACTTGGTGAACAATCTCAAGTGTGCCAAGAATTGCAATGATCACAAGTTTAAGATTATCAGTCATGTGTCCACAGTAACTCATGTATGCCAGCTAAAAGCTATATTCTACACAGGGGACCTCTCTGCAGGAGAGAGGAACATTTCGAGCCATTGCAACTTCTTTCAGTTGAACTAAAGCTTTTGTCCATGGTGCTTTTTTGGCAATTTGATTGGCAAGTTGACTTTATCAGCACCTTTTTCTTAAACTCTATAAAATGTTGTTGAGGGTTATTGTGGTGCAGTGGTAACATATCTACCTCTGAGTCAGGAGCCTGTTCCCTGAACAGGTTGATTGAAAAATATCTACAAAACATTGTTCCCTTTTGAAATTTGGAGCCCTTGCATCACTGCAGGCAGAAAGCTATGGCTGAACAAAAAGACACTGTCAAAGAGGCATTTTGTTTTAATTTACAAATGCTAACGATAGTTTTCTTCTATACCTGAGATAGTAAGAACTGCCGATGCTGGAGTCTGAGATAACACAGTGTGGAGCTGGATGAACACAGCAGGCCGGGCAGCATCAGAGGAGCAGGAAAGCTGACGTTTCGGGTCGGGAACCTTCTTCAGAAATGGAGAAGGGGAAGAGGGCTGTGAAATAAATGGGGGGGGTGCGTACGGTGATTGCAGGTAGGTAGTGTTGGGAATAGGTCAGTGAAGTGGGAGGAACAGATAGGTGGGAGAGAAGGCGGACAGGTCAATGAGGCGGGGATGAGGGTTGCTGGTCTTGGGATGAGGTCGGGGATGGGGAGATTTTGAAGCTCATAAAGTCCACATTGAGACCATTGGGTTATAGGCTCCCAAGGTGGAATATGAGGTGCTGTTCCTCCAGTTTCCAGGTGGCGTTGTTGTGACACTGGAGGAGGCCCAGGATGGACGTGTCATCCAGGGAGTGGGAGGGGGAGTTGAAGTGGTTCGCGACTGGGAGGTGTTGTCGTTTGTTGTGAACCAAGCGTAGGTGCCCTACAAAGCGGCCACCGAGCCTCCGCTTGGCCTCACTGATGTAGAGGAGGCCACATCGGGTACAGCGGATACAGTGGACCACATTAGCGGATATGCAGGTGAACATCTGTTTTAATGTGGAAGGTTTTTTTGGGGCCTGGAATGGAGGTGAATGGGGAGGTGTAGGGGCAGGTGTAGCACCTCCTGCGGTTGCAGGGAAAGTGCCAAGGGTGGTGGGGAGTGGGGAGTGTGGAGCGGACGAGGGAGTCGTGGAGAGAGCAGTCCTTCCGGAAGGCAGATAAGGGTGGGTCACTATGATGCGTAAGACAATCAATAATCCACCAGATGTGAAGTGCTCTATTCTTGGTCCTGTCTACATAGTGTACCCTTGTTGCTTAAAGGAGATGGAGACAGCCTGTTCACTTTTGCTACATGGCTGTGAGAACAATGGTAGAGCCTTTGTGTGTAGATACCCATGGGGATCCTTCCTTGAACTACACTGCCTGTGTCTCAGTAGGGGAAGCTGTGATTTGATTTCTCCTGATTCCGTTGTGCTGCCTGCTGGAAGAACAAAGTAGGCTAAGGAAACCAAGGATTAAATAATTCCTTCGTAGTGTAGGGAAACTTAGCCTTCAGGCGCACAGTCATTAGTCCTTGGTTGGCCACGTGCTGACTTGGAGTATATTTCTGAAGCTTGGCTACTATCTTCTTCAGTCACAGTTGGGCTGTCTGCAAGATTCTCCTGTTAAAAGTTCTTAGCTGTGCATTAACTTCAGATACAGGCATTCACCTTGAACAAGAGTTCTCTGTGCTTTTGCATGCATTCCAGGTGTTGGCACATGTGGTTGTACATTAGGTTGACCATTCTGCCAATGGTGGAGCTCATGAGCTTGAGAGCCTGAGGCATAGTTGGTCCATTCCTCCATATGTCAAATATGAGGTATCATTACTCAAGGGAACTCTACTAGATTGAACCTGCAGAAACAGTTGCATGGCAAAAAATGTGGCCAGACTCATCCTCCTGATGTCCTGTGTACCCCACAGAGCATTGTTGTGTCATCCCCTACCCAAAGGGGAACTGTCCTCTGAAACCTCTGCATCTGACATGTTCCCCGGATGCTTCGATTTGATTTTGATTTGATTTATTGTTGTCGCATGTACTGAGATACAGTGAAAAGAGTTGCTTTGTGTGCTGTACGGGCAGATCGTATCATTCAAAATGTATCCGGTAGCAGAACAGAGTGCAGAATATGGTGTTAGATCCACAGAGAAGATGCAGATGGAGAGATCAGAATTAATGTTTGAGGTCCATTCAAAACTCTGATAACAGCAGGGATGAATCTGTTCATATACGCATTCCAGCTTTTGTATCTTCTGCCTGACAGAAGAGGATAGAAGAGAGTAGAACTGGTATGGGAGGGGTCTTTGATTATGTTGGTTGTCTCTGAGAGGTAGTGGGATGTATAAATAGAGTCAGTGAATGGAAGGCTGGTTTGGGTGATGGACTGGCTGTATTCACAACTCTCTGTAGTTTCTCGCGGTCTTAGGAAGAGCAGTTGCCAGAACATGCTGTGCTGCACCCAGATAGGAGGCTTTCTATGGTACATCAATAAAAGTTGGTAAGTGTCTTTGTGGAAATACTGAATTTCCTTTGCCTCTTGAGGAAGTAGTGGTGTTGTTGTACTTCCTTGACCATCGTGTCCATGTGAGTGGACCAAGGCAGATTGTTGCTGACCATCACTCCCAGGAACTTGACAATCTGGACCATCTCCACCTCAGCACCAATGATGCAGACAGGGACGTGCCCTCCACTCTGCTTCCCGAAATCAATGACCAGTTCCTTCCATTTGCTGACATTGGTGGAGAGATTGTTCTTTTTACACCATGCTATTGAGTAATCTCTTTCCTGTACTCTTGTCGTTGTTTCAGATCCAACCCTCAACGGTGGTGTTGTCAGTAAACTTGTAAATGGAGTTGGGACAGAATTTGGTGACTGTATAAAGGAGTACAGTAGGGAACTGAATACACAGCTTTATGGGGCACTGGTGTTGAGGATTATGGTGGAGGGGGTGTTGCCTATTCTTATCCCTTACGGTCTGTGGGTCAGGAAGTTGAGGATCCAGTTAGAGGGGGGAGCCAGGACCTAAGTCTCGGAATTTAGAGATGAGTTTGTTTGGAATTATGCTGTTGAAGGTGGAACTGTCGTCAGTAAGTAGGAGCCTGATATAGATGTCTTTTGTTATCCAGATGTTCAAGGGATGAATATGGGGCCATGGAGATGGCATATACTATTTACCTGTTGGGCCAGTAGGTGAATTGCAAAGGATCGAGGAAATCTGGTAGACTGGTGTTGATGTGAGCTATGACTAACCTCTTGAAGCACTTCATAATTATGGAGGTCACTTGCGCTGTAGTGCTCACGCTTGGCCTTGGCAATATTTAGTCTTGCTGTAACTTCCTGTGCTGATCTGAGATTTGTTTTATCTTGGTTCCCACATAAAAAGCTGTCTGGTTTAGCACCCAACTAGACTTCTGCTGAAGCCTGCCTTAATTAGCAAAAGCCCTCAATGTAGTTTCCCTAGTTTCCTTGGAGTGGAAGATATCCCTCCCATCTCTTTAAATTTGTTCAGTATCCTTGTATCTGTACTTTCTTCTGTATCTGTTGGATAGTGGCTAGTATTAACTTTGCCCTTTGCATCCTTTTGTACTGTAACAAATTTGTTGTTAACGGGATTTTGAAATCGGTTGTCGTGCACTGGCGTGGATGAAACTAACTGAACACGGGCATGATTGTACTTCAGATGTTACTGACCTAGAAGACTCAACTACCCACTATTAGAGAATCTAATATTTCAGATCAAGACAAAATAAGTTCACTTCAGACAAAACAAAATGTTGGTTCTGCACCTTAAGAACTCAACTTAATGTGTGAATGTAAACAAAAATAGTTAATTTATTAGATTCAGATCCTGTTAAATTTTAGATTCTGATAAGTGGCTATTTTAAAAAAAACTGTTTAAAAATGATTAAGTTTATTATTCACTGAAACAAATATCCCGTTTGTTTTTCCAATTAAACCAGTTGAATCTTGCTAAAGAACGGAGATCTGAAGAGGACCAACTAGCAGAGTTCAAATTACATAAACTTTCCAGTTCATTCAAGATGCTCTCTGATGGATCCATGAATGCTGCTGTGAAACTTTTTAACTGTATGCTAGATGATAAGCGAAAGGCAATACAGAAAGCCACATCAAGGTACTTTTTTTAAAATATAGGCAGTACTAGCTCATGTATAGTCTAGCTTTTGGGAAATTTCTTTTCACAGCAATATAAACTGTTACCCTTCACTCACGGCACTCCTATTTCGACAGAAATAGAACTTTTGTAAAGTTATCTGGCTTTTTTTTTACAGACTGGGCACAAGGTTCATCCATCCGTGGATCAATTCCAATTGATATTTTGCATACGCACGCATCTAACAAGTGTTTAACGTGATGCCCTGCTAATTCTACCTTCAAAACCAGCTGCCATCCTAACTTTGTGGGAGATCAGATGTGGTTCATTGTCTTCTGAAATTCTTGTGCATACTTTAATTTATTTGCCCAAAATACAAGAAATATATTTAAATTTCTGCCAGAGAGTTTAAGATAAGCAAAGAGGCCTTTAGAGAAAAGTGGCCAATGTTCCTTATGTTTCCATTTTTGCTTGTAAGCAACAGAACCTTTATTTGGTTTCTGCTACATTTAGATAAAATGTTGTCTGATCAGGGCAATTTAAGCTCCACTTCATCTGACGTAGAATTATTGACAAAATACTAGATTATATTTACCTTATTCATTGTTAGTATGAGGGTAATGGGATAGTGGGCGGAGTGAGTAAATAACTTTTCCCTTTTTAATGAAATGGTTTCTTTTTTATGTAAATTATATGATATTCCTGTCAAAGGTAGTGACAAAAAGAGATTATTCACCCCCTTGACCTGCTCTCCCGTTCTGGATCATGACTGATGTACCTCCAATATCATATTCCCACACTATCTACATATTCCTTAATGTCATTAGTAACTTGAAAAGTATCAATTTCTGTCATGAAATTACTCAAATGACCTGTGGGGTAGAAAATTCCAAAAATTTTCCACATTTTAGTGAAGGAATTCCTCTTCATCTCAACCCTAAATAGCTTGGCTCTTGTTCTGATTCTGTGTCCCTAGTTCTAAAACTCACAACCAGTGGAATCATACTTTCTGCATCTACTCTGCCTATCCCTTTAAGAATTTTAGTATTTTCTTTGAGATTCCCTATCATCTAAACTCTAGAGAATTTAAGCCAAGTTTCTTCAATCTGTCCACATGATCTCACCATTCCAGGAATCAGTCCCTTTATGGCAAGTATACTCTTCCTTAGTCAAGGCGACCCAAATGGCGCGCACAACTCCAGATGCAGTCAAACCAGTGTTCCACACAATTGAAGTAAAGCTTCTTTGCTCCTGTACTCAAATCATCTTGCAGTAAACGTTAGCATGCCATTTGCCTTCTGAATTGCTTGCTCCACCTGTGTTAGCTTTCAATCCTTCATGAAAAGGACACCATGTCCCTTTGGACATCGGGACTTTCTAAACACTCTGTTCAAGAAATACTTGCACCTCTGTTCCTCCTATCAAAGTAGACAACCTTGCATTTATCCCCATTATATTCCATCTGCTGTATCCTTGCTCACTCACTCAGCTTGTATAAATCCTGAAGCCTCATTGCATCCCCTTCAACTCTTATTCCCACCAAGTTTTGTATTTTCTGCAAATTTATGAAAAAATCACAATTGGTCCCTACATTCAAATAATTGATGTAGGTTGTGAACAGCTGGGACCAAGGCACTGACCTTTGCAATACCGCACTGGCCAAAGCCTGAGAACAACCAATTATTCTAACTCTGCTTTCTGCATGTTGACCAATCCTGAATACATCCAGTGTATTGCCCCAATCCCTTGCACTTTAATTTTGTTTTCTAACCTCCTGTGTGAGACTTCATCAAAAGTCTTCCAAAAATCTAAGTACATTACGTCCAATGGTTTCTCCCTTATTGACTCTGCTAGTGACATGCTAAAAAAAAGTGTCTGGTTTGTCCAAATGATTTCCCTTCATAAATCCATGTTGATTCTATCCAATCAGACCATTATTTTCTGAATATCCATTAATCACATTCTTTCTGATGGATCTAGTATTTTCTCTATTACTAATGTTGGGCTCACGTCTTTTGTTCCTTGTTGTCTCCATTTTTTTCCTTTGTTAAATGGTGGAAGGTTGCAAAACCCATTCCAGTCTCAGCCACCTTTGCAGAGTTAATAGAATTCACTGTGTCCATTATCTGTAGCAGTGTCTTTAAAACCCTAGCGTTTTAAGGAATTGTCAACTTGCAGTGCCATTAATTTCACCATTGCTACTTTATTGCTAATAATTTATTTCAGTTCTATACTGACTATACCTTTTTGAAAGCTCATTGTTTCAGGGTCACTTCTTGTTTCTTCTTGAAGATGGGCAGAAAGTACTTTAGCTTTGCTGCCATTTCTCATCATTATTCTTATTAAACTCTCCTGTAATTGACCTATGTTGTATTATTGCTTTCTTTATCAATTTTTTCGTCCTCCATTGCTGAATTGTAAAATTCTCCCATGCGCGCTCTCAGAATATTTTTAGGCAAATTTATAAGCCTCCTTGTTTGATCTAATACAATCTTTAACTTCCATTGTTGGCCATGGCTGTCTTAATTTTCCTATGGGGCATTTTTGAAAATTGAACATTAATTCTTGAAGTACCTAGCCATTGCATATCTACTATCAAATATTTCAATGTATTTTTCCAATTTGCTTGTAGCCAGCTTCTTCCTCATAGCTTCAAAACTGCCCAAATTCCTATTCAAAGTCATAGTTTCAAATTGGACTAATTTTGCAAGTTTAAAGGAAAATGTTATGATATCATGGCTGCTACTCACTAAAGGTTCTTTAATAACAAGATTAATAATTAATCCTTTTTCATTGCATAATACTGGATCTAAATTAGCCTGTGCCATGGTTGGTGGTTCAACATATTATTCTAAAACTGTCGCAAACACATTCCAGGAATTCTTCCTCCAAAGTATGGGTGCTCATTAGATTTACCCAGTTTATATTTAGGTTGAAGTCACCCATGTTTATTGCATTTCCTGTACTACGTGCAACTCAAATTTCACGATTTATATTGTCCTATGTAATCACTACCTTTTAAGGCTTGTAAACTACTTCTACCAATGATTGCTGCCCTTTCTGTTTCTTAGCTCCACCCAACAGATTCTACACCTTGTTCTTCCAATCAGAAATCCTATCTCATATACTCATCTCGTAACTTATCAGCAGTACCCACTTCCTTTTCCTTTTACACTTGTCTTTGCTAAATAGTGTTAATCCTTTAATATTCAGTGCCCAGTCTTTGTCAAGTTAGTGTCACATGTCTGTAATGACAATTAAACCATATTCCTTTACTCGCACTGTTAATTGACTGTCTTGCTGTGAATGCTGCATATGTTCAGATAAAAGACTTTTAATTCTGCCTTTTTAACACATCTGCAATTTGACTTAGATATAGTAAGAACTGCCAATGCTGGAGTCTGAGATAACAGTGTGGAGCTGGAGGAACACAGCAGGCCAGGGAGCATCAGAGGAGCTCTAGAACTTATTTCTGTTGTTTTCCACTGTCATTTGCAGTTTTTGTAGTTCCCATAACTGTTTTCATTCTCTGAATTCTCTCTCTCAGGTTCCCATCTACTTGACATGTTAGTTTAAACTCTCCCCAATAATATCAGCAAATCAACCCATGAAGAAATTAGTCACAGTCCTACTAAGATATAATCCATCCTTGTGCAGGTTTTACCTGCCTGCATCCAGTCCCAGTGTCCCAGAAATCTCGAGCCTTCCCTTCAGTACAATCTTTCAAGTCATATGTTCATTTAGTTGAGCTCCCTGTCTTTATGCTCATGAGCACATTGCAGTGGGAGTCATTCTAAGATTACTGTTTTAGAAGTCCTGCTTTTTGCTCTCTTGCCTAGCTCCATAAATTCCACTTTCAAGAACTCATCTGTTTATCAATGTCTGTCACTGGTGCCACTGTGAGTCATTTACCTTTTCTCTTCACCCTCTTCCAACAGATTTTCCCACAACTGTTCCGTGACATCTTTGACATTTGTTGTGTCACAAGCTTGGTGCTTGCTACATTTCTTTGAATCATTGTCCTCACACATAACGAAAGTGGAAAACTGGTTAGTGATAGAGGGCCTTGGGGGACTCCTACATTACTTGCCTAGTCTTGCTAGACCTTCTACTATTCTCTGTCTGGCTGCATGCTCTTGATTTGTGATATAAGCAGTTTGTAAAATATGCTATCTTGTAATTCTCAGCTTTGCAGATATACTGTAATGACTCCAGATGCCCCTTGAGTTCCAAATCCTGAAGCTCAATTTTATTTTCAGCTGAATACATCACTTACTGTATCATCTAGGCCTCATGAAGTATTCCAGACATCCCATCAGGCACGCTGGACATCCCATGCATCTTACATGTTCTGCCATGCGTGAAGTTTGTATTCAGACTATTAACTATAAACTGGAGACTAGAATGAAGAATGTCAAATTACTCACCAATTAGTTTCAATGAATCTGGATCTTTACACTCACACAGACACTAAATGCTCGATCAGTTAACTTCCACACTCTGCATCCTGTAACTGCAACCATAGCTCTCAGCTTATATTCAACGTGCATCTCTGAATTTCCTTGCAGATCTGCTCTGTGCTCTTCTCTCTCCCTTATTCTCTCTCTTTCTTTATCAGGCAAATATAAGCCCTGATCCTATTTGTAACCCTCACCCTGCATTGACTTATTATTGTTACATGCTTTACAGGCAGATTGTATAACACAAACTGCATCAGGGTAGCAGAACAGAGTGCAGAACACAGCTTTACATCCACGGAGAAGATGCAGAGAGGCTGAGAGAGATCAGAATAAACATTTGAGGTCTGTTCAAAAGTCTGATAACAGTGGGGAAGAAGCTGTTCTTAAATCTATTTGTACATGTATTCCAGCTTTTATATCTTCGGATGGACGGAAGAGAGTATAACTGGGTTGGGAGGGACCTTTGATTATGTCGGTTGCTTTCCTGAGGCAGCGGGAAGTATAGGTGAAGTCAGTGGGTAGAAGACTGGTTTGCATGATGAACTGGGCTATGTTCACGACTCTGTAGTTTGTTGCGGGTCTTGGGAAAAGCAGTTGCCATACCAAGCTGTGATGCATCTAAATAGGCTGCTTTCTGTTCTGCATCTATAACAATTGGTAAGTGTCCTTATGGACGTGCTGAATTTCCTTAGCCTGTTAAGGAAGTAGAGATGTCGTTGTGATTTCTTGACTGTCACTTCGATGTGCTGGACCAGGACAAATTGTTGGTGATCATCACTCCCAGGAACTTGATACTCTCAACTGCCTCCACCTCAGTATCATTGACGCAGACAGGGGTGTGCCCTCTACTCTGCTTCCTGAAGTCAATGACCAGCTCCTTAGTTTTGCTGGTGTTTGTGGAGAGATTGTTGTTTTTACACCATGCCGCAAAGCACTCAGTCTCTTTCCTGTATTCTGTCTCATGGTTGTTTGAGATCTGACATACAATGGTGGTGTCATCAGCAATCTTGTAAATGGAGTTGGGGCAGAATTTGGTGACACAGTCATGAGTGTATAAGGAGTATGGCAGGGGGCTGAGTATGCAGCGTTGCAGGGTACCAGTTTTGGGGATTATGGTGGAGGAGGAAGTGTCACCTATTACTGATTTCAGTCTATTGATCAGGAAGTCAAGGATCCAGTCACTGAAGGTGGAGCTGAGACCTAGGTGTAGGAGTTTAGAGGTGACTTTGTTTGGAATTATGCTGTTGAAGGCAGAGCTGTGGTCAATAAGTAGGAGTCTGATACAGGTATCTTTGTTATCCAGATGCTCAACAGATGAGTGTAGGGCCAAGGAGATGGTGTATGCTGTGGACCTGTTGCGCCAGTAGGAGAATTGCAAAGGATTGAGGCAATTTGGTAGGCTGGAGTTGATGTGAGCCATGATTAACCTCTCAAAGTACTTCATAATTATGGAGGTCAGAGACACGTTGCGCTGTTTATATCCTGTCTCTAACTTAAATTTTTTTTACCATGGTTAACCCACCTAATGTGCACACTATGGGGCAATTTTTAGCATTACCAATCTACCTAAACTGCACATCTTTGGACTGTGGGAGGAAAGCAGTGCAGATGCAGTGGGAATGTGCAAACTTTGCAAAGAAAGTTGCCCAAGGCTGGAATTGTACATGGCCAGGGACCTGGGTTCAGGAAAGTTTCTGTCCATTATATAAAAATAATGATGAATTTTGATTATCCAGACTCAAATATCTCCTGTCCTTTTCTATTCTTAAAGAGAACAATTCCAGTTTCCAATCCTTCCATTTAATTGACTCCTCTTTGTACCTATTTATCACTCCAGCAAACCAACATGACCTGTATCGTCTCCAAGAACACTTGATATCAAAAGTTCTCCGTAATCTTCCTACGTGGCCTAAACAATGACTTGTAAAGATTTAGTGTTTCTTTATTTTTAAAAAAAATTCAATGCCTTTTTTACAAAACCACTTGTGCCATTCACTTTCCATAACCGGCTTATCAACTTGCAATGCCGCCTTCAAAGATGTATGGCCGTACATCCACAGAGCCTCTCATATTACACTTCCTCAAAACAACACCATTTATATTACATCGAAAGAAACAGTGTCTTCGTTTTGAAGGATGGGAAGATCTGGAACACACTACTTGCAAGGGCATTAAGAACAGATTCGCTCAAACCATCCAAAAGGTAACTTGGTCTGAGCTTGGATAGAACAGCTTGCTGGGATACTAGGGAGAAAACTAGAGCGTAGGATATGTTGAACATATCTTTCAAAAAAGCTGACACAGGTGTGATGGCCTAAATGGATTCCTTCTGTGCTATCAAATGCTAATACTCTGGACATGGTTCACTAATTTCTTTCATATCTTTCTTCTCTTGGTCCTCATGAAGTTCAAGTCATGTATAAATCTCACACCTGCTCTTCTTCCCTATTTCTAAGAAAATACTGATTTACCCAATTTTCCTTCGTGACCACTATGTTAATTGACATTATAAATTGCTATAGATTCCAAGTACAATGAAACTTATTTTCAAAATACCATCAATCAGTCACCTAAAGCCTGTAGGAGTGAGGTCCAAGTCATCTGTCATCATTCTGTCATAATTCCCTAAGGGACCTGCCACATACCCAATACAGCAGTTAGCTGCTAAATTAGCCCCTGCAGCAGCACCATTGCCTGTGTAGTGTGATTGTTAATCAGTTGTTTGCAGAGCTGCTAAATTCTAATGCTGCTGTTGAGACCAGAGCCCCATGACTCTTGGATGGTCTGTCAACATCATTCAAACCTCCAGTTGTTAAGTCAGATTTCTCAAGACTCACCAATCTATTCCTGCCTTCTAAAAGCATATTTCTCATCCACCATGTCATACCTTCCTGAAATTGGATTCGGACACGTAGAAGTTCACCCATAATTGAAGCAATCGCTTGACCTAGTGTAAAGACTTGACAGAAGTAAACAGTTAAGTGTTGATTAATTGTCATTTCTTGAGTTAGAAGGCAGGTTCCTGGAATCCATTGGCCACTTATCTGATAGCTCATTGGGTATGAATTGCAAAATGTGGCCAGAAATCATGTTGTCCTACTATTTGTCATATTTTCTCTTCTTTCCACCTGTCCTTCCATCTCCTTTCCTTTCTCCTCCATAATCCTTCAGAATCTTGGCTGACTTGCAAGAAGTTTGTATAATATAACTGTATTTGCCAGTGTTGAGATGACAATGCTGAGAATGGGAATTGTAAAGTTTGTATCACAACTGAGATATAGTGTGCAGGAAGGTGTTCACTTAGCTGTGGAATTCTTTCCTAAATTTATAATAGTAATTCCACCACTTTCTTTTTGCGAGAGCCATGTAAACGTATAGGACTTAAAAGTTGCTTTTTAATTCCATGATCATTGAGGGTTACTCCTTAATTGGTTATGGTGTCTAGGGCGAGAGCTATTGCTGGGAGTCCAAGTTCTTCCCAGGTAACTCTGCAAAATCAGTATTCATGAAGGGTTGGATGATTTTCAGGTGACCAAGCAACAGGAAGGTTATTTGTTCAGTGATTCTACCTAGGCGATTTCAAACGATAGGCTGGAGGATCCACAAATCATGGCTTTGGTAGCAACGCTTGCTCCTCTGCAACAGAATTTGCATTATTTCAGGTAAATATAAATGCTGAAAATATCCAATAAGTCAGGCAGAATCTGTGTAGAAAGAAACCAAACTAAAGTTTCAAGTTGATGGCCTCTCATTGGAACATTTTGCTTTATTTCCTCAGACACTGTATGACCTGCTGTCTGGTCATGCTGTTTCCTGTTTTTATTTTAGATTTTCAGCATCCACAGCAGTTTGTTTTTGAAAATGAAACTCTACTTATGTTGATCGTTCCTGTACTTGAATTTGGGATACCTTAGCAAAACATAGCAAATAGGTTTTGTTGCATCAGAAATCCAATTGGTTTGTGTAAGAAAAGATGTGGGTACTGTTATATTTTGCTTTTTCCCTCTGTTTCATTTCCTATAGATGCACAGTAATTGATAATGATTTTTCCTCCTTAGAATGATAGAAATGAAGCTAGGAGTTGCAAAGAATGCAATGATAGACTTCAACTACAAACAAAGAAGAGAAGGAATGCTTCTAGATGCAACTATACGTGATATTTATGTTTGTGCAAGTATGGAATTTCTACTCACAGTGGCTGACTTTTTTGTCAAGGCAAATGACCAGATCTCTACAGCTCCAGTGAATAAACCAACTGTCATGACTTCAAAAGAAAAAGGTTTGGAAAATAATTAAGGGCATTTTAGATATTTTTAAAGTTGGTGGAAAAAAAATGCATTTACATCCTTTTTTATTTATTAAAGTACCATCGCAAGCTGTGTCCAAAATGGAGCTTAGTGTTCACGTTCAGAATCCAGAGATTGTCTTTGTGGCAGATTTGACAAGAGCGGATGCCCCCTCACTTGTGGTGACTGCACAATGTGAAGCAGACATAAATAATGATCCAGAACTTCAACAGATAACTGCAACTGTTAAAGATCTCAAAGTTATGGCCTGTCCATTCCTAAAAGAAAAGAGAAAAGATCATGTTACCACGGTATATCATTATGAATATAAAATTGTGCATTTGCCGTTTGAGTAAAATTTGTGATACTTTTCAAAAATTTACACCTATTGTATTGAATATTTCTGCATTTCAGGTTTACTTCAGTTTAAACATTGATAGTATTTCTAGTTTAAAATGTATAAAGTCACCAAATTAAAATTGCTGTTCATTGGCAAAATCTAAATCTCAATTACCAAAACTGCTGTATTTACAAGGATATAATTTTGAATGTATAATGTAATATTCTCAATTCTAAAATATAGATCTTGCAGCCTTGCAGTTTGTTTTTCCAACGTACACAAGCAACGTCTGGTCCTAGTTTCTTGGAATTGGCAGTGAAATCACTAATGCTCAAAGTAAGAAAATACTTCATTTGTCTACATAGTTTTTGAGTTGCAAAATCATTTTAAAATGTTTGCTGAACAACTTTAAGTATTTTGTGTGTTACTTCTTAGGTATCTCCTGTTATCATTAACACAGTGATTACAATCACATCTGCCTTAAATCCTGCTGTTGATAGTCCACTTGAAAAAGACAGTGAAATACCACCTGACTTGTGGAATAAGAAGAATGTGAAAGACTTAAAATTCTGGTTTTTGGAGAATAATAAAAATAATGAAAGTAAAAATGCCCCAACAACACAATTAGAATCGACAGGAGAGAATCTGAAAATGACAGTGGACTTTATTTGTTTGACACTTGAAGCAGGTGTTGGACATAGAACTGTTCCAATGCTTCTGGCAAAGTCGACTTTTAAAGGGGATGTGAAAAACTGGAGCACATTCATTAATCTTCGTTGTCATCTCAACTTAGAGGTATGAAATTGATGGAAAATCCTATTGCATAAACATGTGTACGTGTTAGGCCTAGAGATAGCAAGAACTGCAGATACTGGAGTCAGAGATAGCACTGTGTGGAGCTGGAGGAACACGGCAGGCCAGGCAGCATCAGAGGAGCAGGAAGGCTGATGTTTCGGGGCAAGCCTGACCCAAAACATCAACTTTACTGCTCCTCTGATGCTGTCTGGCCTGCTGCGTTCCATTTGCTCCACACTGTGTTATCTATGTTAGGCCTATACTTGATAATGTTTTTACTATGTTTTCTGCAATGAAGCTTTGTGATGTGAAATTCTGATGAAGTACAGTAGTTGAAATTTGATAGTTCTAGTTTATTTTATAATGAGCAGATCTATTAGCGCTCAAGGTGAATTTATGAAAGAAAATTAGGGCATGTATTATTAATCGTGCTGTTTTTCTGATTAAACTTAATACCAGTCTCAGTAATTGATTTTTAAAAAGTATCTATGGTGCTAGCAGAAGTAAAACAAAGATGATCTGCTAAAGTTTGGTAAAATTTAAATTCAGTTAATAAATCTAGAATTGAAAGCTAGTTTCATCTACAGTGACTACACACTAGCGTCGATTGGTGTGAAAACCCATGGTTTTTTTAATGTCTTTCAAGGAAAGAAATCTGCTAGGCTGGGTGGCATACCTATAATTCCAGAGCCATGTCAATATGTTGACTCTTAACTGAGTGCTGAAATGACCTGGCAAGCCTCTCCGGTTTAGGGTAATTGGGGATGGATAATTACAGAATTATTATGGCACAGGAGGAAGCCATTTGGCTCATCGTGTCTGTACTGGCTTTTCAACGAGCATTATTATGTAGTACGATTCTCCAGTATTTTTACCATACCCTTGCATATTCTTTCTATTCAGATCATCATCTGATGCCCTTTTTTTTTCAATACCTCAATTGACTCTTCTACTACATTTCCAAGCAGTGCATTCCAGACTAAACCACATGGTTTTCTTTTTCTCCTCCTTGCATCGTATTTGCAAATCACTTTATATCTATTTCCCACATTCTCAATACTTTTACAAGCACTAGCAGTTTCATCCTGCCTATTCTATCCAGACCTCTCTTGATTTTGTAAATGTTTGACTTTAATAAATGCCAATACCTAAATTCCATGACAGACTAATGAAAACTTAATTATGTGTAAAATGTGGATGAAAATACTAGAATTGGTGAGAGGTCACTGCATTTAATCAAATCTTCTGGCCTTCAATTTTTTTTTCACTATTTTAAAAGTATTAATTTGAAGAGTATTTGCATTTTGTTTGTTGACATAAGCTTGAGGACAATCATTATAAAATTTGCACTGAATGACTCGTT